TCTCGCGGAGAGCCGAACAGCCGCCATCTGTCGCGATCCGTGGCCGTCTGCTCCCGTCGCCGGTGTGGGGGTGAAAGCCGTCTTTGCACCGTCTCCACCGTCTGTGGTCAGCCAGCCGTGTGATTCCAGTTATCTCATGGCGGCGCCACCGAGAGAGGTCTCACCGAGGAACAGTCGAAACATCCGTGCGACTGCATCCGTAAGTGGGGCTTTGCCTGTGGACGCTATGCCAATAAATAAACAAATAAACAATTAACAATCCGGTCAATAACACAAACCGAACGGAATCCCACCGTTTAAATGATTTAAAAACGTTACCAGTTCAATTGCAGCGACGCTGGGCACGCCTTGTTGCCATGTTATTTGTATGAATGTAATATATGTGCATTGTGCGTTGTACTGTACATATATGCTGAATCATGTACCGAGATACACTATATCATTGCTCAATAAAACGCCTTCTAAACAAGATTTTGGTGTTTTTGGTGTGCCTATCAACTATGTGTAAGCATAATTCTCCACTTACCTTTCCTTTACCCACCCTCTTATCACTCGAGAACATTCACCTGGCAACTGACTATTCTTTGATCGGTAAGAAATATTGATGGTGAAAGATTGATAACTACGTGTATTGTGTAATGCATCGCGGGGTGGGGTCGTCTTGCGTTCGCCTAATTAATCCGGCCAAGCCAGAAAATAAAACGTTCAATAGCACAACTCGATTATTTACATGCACGTTATCACAAATACACGGCATGAGTCAGCGGAGCGTACAGCCCACCGCTACAGTAATGTGTGGTTTTACCAATCTCAACGGATGGCTTTGACCGACGATTTTTAAATGCGGACTGATTGAAAAGAAGACGTCAATAGATAAAGTTGTAGCTGCAAGGGTGAAGATATATGTAAGCTACATTTAACCCTATTCCTGGCGGGCTCCGCCGGGACAAGAAACTGGCGGGGGGGGGGGCCGATTCGGCCCCCCCCTTCAGATCTCAAAAACTACACATCGCAGCGACAAACGGCGAACGGCGTTTGATAGGTCGTTTAAAGATCTACAACTTTTACATAAAACATTTTCAGGTCAGGTCAATATTGAGGTCACCAGAGGTCATCAACGATAAAATGTTTTGGAATTAGTTACCTATATAACTTTTAAACTAAGAAACATAGAGACATAAAACCAATACATTTTTTGTTGCTCTCGCCGAGGCGATGCGAAATAAGTATGTGATGACCTTCACAGGTCAATTTAAAATTTGACCTGAGGTCAAGGTCAGGTCATTCATCAATGAGGTTGTGGGGTATGGTCATGCTGCATACCAAACGACGCGCCTTGACCAGGCGAGCAGTTTGGTACCACTTACAAGTCTTTAGCACCATCATGTCGTGATTTATTGACAGAAAAACGATTTATGACGTCACATGACCTCAGATGACCTTTGCCGGTGCCCCTATCAATTAGCGGCACCAGGATCATCACCGATGAGATAATCTTCCATAATACTGAAAGAACTGGGTGGTTTTGACTCGTTTACACGAAGCAGGAGGCGTTTCAATATTTTCCCATAGGCTTGCAATGTAAAGGTCACGAGTCTGGCCTAACCTCTGGTCACAGATATGAAAATTCTGAGATATACAAATTGCACATACTGGTACCCTAACTAAAGCCTGAAGAGAAGAAATTGATCGGTCAAAAACTCTAGCTCTGGCGTGATTGCAAACTTTTCTGAGGTAGGGTCACCAAACCGCCTCTGGTGACCTGACCTGAGGTCAGATCAACTCAAAATTTTCAGAAATGTTGCGTAAAAGCCTTTTAGAAAAAGTCAGAAAATTTGAGCTTCCTAGCTCAAAGCGTTTGGGAGATATAACCAAAAAACCTCAGGGGGGGGGGCTCCTGAGCCCCCCCCCCCGCCAGGAATAGGGTTAAAGTCTCGTTGCAGTCTGGCTAATCGTTCCTAGGCCTCAGAAGCAGAACATACCCATGACTGAAACCACACATTACTTCTGCTGTGGACTGTACATATGTACATATATGTAACAACAGCTTCTCAATTAGCTGCACCACCAAAAGATCATGAGTTATCATGTGTCCCGCTGCTCGTTATTCCGATCGTTTATAATCGATGAAAAATCATTGTCGTATCAGTCTCGCACGGAATGTTAGTGGGATCGTATCATGCTTAATCTTTACGTCACTCTCGCGCATATGGTGAAGAGTATAGACGTGAAGTTATTGTCAGTGCTTTCCGCGATAACTGATTTTCGGACCTGCGATAACGATAAAACGATAAGTAAGGTTTGCGATAACGATAAACCATAAACGATAAAAATTTGCAAAAAATTAACAGCGATAGCGATAAAACGATAAAAACGATAACGGTAATTGTTTTGAAATCATTGTCGTATCAGTCTCGCACGGAATGTTAGTGGGATCGTATCATGCTTAATCTTTACGTCACTCTCGCGCATATGGTGATAAGCGATAACGAAACGATAAACGATACAACGATAACGATCGATAATTGTTTTTAACAGCGATAACAAAAGCGATGAGAAATACAGCTTAAATAACTGTACTTAAAGTTTATTTGCAGATATATACACTTAGCAGATGGCAACAGGTTGCGCACACATATTGTCGCGCGGCACACTGTCGATCGATCGTCTTCCATTTTTCCATCATCCCGTTTTACTCTGTTGAGTGCTTGAGCAAGGAGCATAATACAAGCGTAATACACAAGTTTTAATGACCGGATCTCCTTGAAACTACCAAAATCGAAAAAGCTAAATATTTATTCGTTGGTATTCGTTGCTATTCGATAAGATACAAAAAAGTGATGAATTTTCGGTCACGGACCTTCTTCTGATCTAAATATGATAAAATGTAAAACATCCCGTTTTACATTTTATCGTTTATCGTTCATAATTTTTGTAACTTGCGATAAGTGGATGAGCGATAATTTTGAAAATTTAGCGATAAACGATAACTATAACCGATTTGCTTAACAGCGATAATTATCGTTTATCGTTTATCGCTCATCCTATCGAATGCGGAAACCACTGGTTATTGGCGATGGTTATGAAGTCTTTTTACAATCTCCTAGGTAGCCTGAGATTATCGAATTCATCCTCGTATTTGTAGGGGACTGGGGATTCATGTTATCTATGAATAGGTAAATACATAAAAACCGGGGGGAGAGAAACGATAAAAACACTTTACGAGGAACCCATGCCAAATAAACGAGAAAGTGTGAAACGGCGCTGACTTGAGGACCCATATCTCAAGATATCTCGTATCTGCGCTGTCACAGAAATTCGGGCTGTATAGACGCCTTCAGCTGGAAAATCCCGATCTCACGATTTAGAAGACAAAAGCACATCGTCATTTAGTGAAAACTGAATCGGACGTGACGGAAGGCTCTGAAGAAGAAATAAATGAGTTGAAGAAAAAAAAAACAGAAAGAGTGTGATAATCATCGTGCATGGGCAGACATTTTCCCTATATGACTTTCAATATTTTGTATGTGGACTTCAGTGCAATTCAAGATGAATTCAAGCAACCGGAACTCGAGTCGACGACCGCTATTTTCACAATTCACGAGAAAAAAATCATGACGAGATTTTGAATGCGCATTTAAAAGGAAAAAGACACATACAACTAGGATAAACGTAAGGCTTAGCAAAACTATTCGGTTGTAGCCTATCCGCCATCCCCAGCGGAACAGTAGTCTATCCGTCCATGTAAGTATGAATCATCCATCTTCAATCTCCCTGACACTTCCCAAACAGTTCCGTATCTCTGCAGTGCTCATCTTTGTCCCACCCGGCGCAGCGTCTGCGGCCGCTTCCCGTGCAATGTTCAGCGCCACTGATCCGTGGGACGCCGTGGCTGTCGTTCGCTCTCAGAGCCCGCTCGTCAGCCCAGATGTCGGAGCGCGCGTGCAGGCTGCACGTCATGGGACGCGCTGCCACACGGATCGCTGTGAGTTTCACCGGCAGTTTATCGAACTAATTACCGTCACGTATCCCAGGCATGACACCGTTCCGTGGGGTGGGCGCCGAGTCGCGACAGTGAGCGACAGGGTGCATCGGACGGCGACCAAAACATAAACTGAACGAATTAGCGACTACGCAGTGTGTAATATGCCTTGTCACAACACTCGTCAAGGAATTGTGCACTACGAACTGATAATGGTTTGGTCCGTGGGCTCTGTTGGAGCAAGAGCCCAAGCTAACTTCAGCCATACACAGAGAAGTACGCACTAAACGTACAATAGGTTCTCGCTAACGATAAATTATCATCATACACATACGGTAATGACTATTTCACTATTATTTGACAAGTGTGCACACTTGTCATAAGGTCATAAGGTGAGATTTTATGTCAGTTGTATCAAAGTACCAAATTTATCTCGAACAGGTCTAATAGGACATAGGCATGCGTGTGTGTAGTCTAATAAATAGGCTATTGTGCTGGGAAGATGATCCACAACCGAACTGACAGCCTCAAGTCGTGTGTTAAGGAGATTTAAAGCGCAAACATGCAAGTCATAACGATCACAACCGAACAAAACCGTATTGTAGCCGATACGTACGCTCAGTTTTCTCACACGCCTCGACCACTACTGCAAATAGAAAAGCTGTTACCTCGTTGACGAGGTATGTAGATGCTTCTATTCGATGACGAGGAGGAATAATGCAACTATCGAAAATCAGTCTGCCTTCAGTGGCTGTGACGGTAGTGGTCACTGGTCAGTGGTTTCGTAGCGGTATTCGTGGCAAAGACAGCGACAGAAATAGAATGTAGTAACTAAGGCGTACGTAAGGCTCACACGTTAATAAGAATGACCACATTGCAATATCTAAGCGAAAGGTCTGGAGACTCGCTGAGTTGGCAAGTTACACAAAATGCAAGCTGGGCTATAATAGGCTGTGAACGCTCCTTTGCACATTAGTGGTATCCAGCACCGCAGAATTAAATTCCATAAATCCCTCTGTGACTTTAACGTTTTATTGTGGAACATTCACGGGGTTGACACCATAGTACCGACAACGTACGGCTAGTAAAGCAGCAATAAAGTGGTCGCCGCCGGCGCAGGGCGGCGTCGCCACCGTCCAGCACGTCACTACCAGCTACTACCAAAGACAAAGAATCGACCGGCGGCCATAGGCAAAAGCTAGCTAGCGCGCGCCGGCGCGGCGGTGAGCACACAGACGATGGACCCATGAACTGACAGCGCGGCGAGAGTCGCCCCCGCCCCCTCCCCTTCCGACCGGCCCGAATATAACACCGGCCGCCTCCCCCACACCTCCAAACGGCAGATCTGTCCCACAGACGCTGGGATCGTCCCCTCCCCAGTCTCCCACAATGCCACATGATCCAGCCTTGCCACTAAACTGCATCGTAAACTCCGCGCTCCCGGTCGTCAACATCGAAAGTTCATCATGGAACGCGATGTCCTCCGACCGATTTTCCGGGTACTCGGCGGGAGCACTGGTCTTGGGTAATATCGGTATGATCGGCCCGGCGCCGGAGAGTATTGGATTGACCGCCGTCTCGGCAGCCTCAGTCGGGAGCTGGTGGCCGGGTTCACACGTCCACCTCAACACACCCGATAATGACTAGTTTACACGTCGTGCTGCCGCAGCTGCTGCTAGAATAGACGGCCGTCCGACCGGCCAACGAGACCGACGTTGAGCCCACACGCACAATTCGCTCGGCGACATCCAGCATTCGCGGTACAAAACTGCACCTATATCAAATACGGTACAAAACACGGCGTACAGTAGCAAAACTGAAAGCGAAAGCGGGCGGCGCTGGGCACCCCAAAGTGCCGCGCCGCGCCTATGTACAGCTTGGGTGAGTAGCGTGAGAGCATTAGGCGGCCGGCCAGTGGGCGTCTTGCTAATGGCTCCCGGCAGACTGCCCGCGGCGCCGGCCCGTCCGCGGCTGGCAGTGAAAGCGTCTCCGGAATCGGGTGGCCGTTCGGGACTGGTTCGCCGGAGCCGGCGCCGGGGCCGGCCAGAGAGAAGACGTCCTTTTGTACGCTGGCGGCGACCGCCCGTCGACCGGACGAGGGATCACCGGACTAGGGATCGCAGCCCGCGGCGGGACGGCCGCCGCGCCACCGCAGCTACACTGCAGCAAACATGAGATGAGTTGTACATGTACAAACACACATCCCTAGTCGGGGCGGGGCGCGCAGAGTGAAGCAGCAGCTCGTCGGGGAGAGACTCGGCGACACACACGCACACAGTGAACGGCGCAGCAGCACATACAACAGCGCGGCGAGCGGCGCGCGTCCGTCCCCGACCGGGAGTGTGGAGCTGTTGGTGGAGTCAGCGCTGGGGCGCTCAGTCGGCGCGCGCCTTGTAGCTCGACTTCCACACCTCAGCCAGCACCACGGCCGAGTGGAAGCGGTGGAAGATGGCCAGCGGCAGGGTGACGCGCAGCAGCACCGCCCAGTGCAGCGGACCGTAAAAGTTCAGCTGCGGACACAAACAACGGGGGCACAGTTAGGTTAGGTGTCGACTAGGGCGGGTTTATACTCGCAGGTATGATAAACTGGTTCTAAGTACCATTTTGGATTACTTGTGAGTGCTTCTGCGACTGAGAGCGACATATGACTTAGCACACTGCACGCTATATGGATTACAGACAGGCTGTTACTAGCTAGTGAAACGGTACGTTAGACCACTCACACGGGTTTCCACGTTTCGCCAAAAACATTGGGCACGTCTTATCAGACTTTTCCATGGCGGGATTTCAAAGAGTGACCAATGCAGCGCCACCAGATATGTTTACTCCCACATGCAACTCCTCTCCTTGCCCACAGCGGACCCCCCCCCCCCCACACACACACACAATTCTTCCTCACCTGCACGGGGTCGGCCTCGACCTTCCTGATCTCGAACGTGTAGACGACCCAGAGGGCGATGTTGCAGAGCAGCAGGAAGGTGACCACCTGACGTCCCGGCTTGCTGAGGTCGTGTTCCGGCAGGTAGACGGCCCTCTTGGATACGTCGGCCACGTAGAGAAGTTGGAATAGTACCTGAAGACAACGAGACCAGGGGGCGTTAGAAGCGAGGGGATGGCATTGAACTTGGGACGGGGTTACCATAGCCCTGCACAGCTGACACTTGAAAACATGGCTTGGGGTTTGTACGGTTACGAGCAGATGCAGTAAACGGTCAGCACGACCAGCCCAATGCCAAGTTAACGGGAAATTTGGAGACATTCAATACCGATGCAAGTTGCAACGTTTATAACGCTGTAACATTTGTTGAATAGTTTAGAAGAATATAGAAACTACGGTGAAAGCAAGTTCAGTGATCCACTGCTGTGAGAAAATACCTTGATAGACAGCAACGGTCATTTACCTAGCACTAAAACGGACACTGAAAACTCGGAGGAAAAACTTGTTGAAATTTATTATTCCAATGGACCTCTTCACAAAACAGGAATGCAGCATCTACGAGTACATTTATCCTTTCGGTAGGTCATCAGGTTCCTGGTAGTGAGAGCTCAGGTTTGAATGGCTACTGCGGTCGATATGTGAGACTCCTGAGACTCTTGGCCTGCGGTCTGTGGGAGCGGCCACAGCCAAGTGAGGTCGGAGAGTGGAACAAATCGTCTTCAGCTACGTGGTCAGCTAAATTCTAAATTCGGAATCCTCCCAGCCCAAATTTTCACTACCAGACTGTACGATGTCGGGACCTGCGCGGCGAGCTGTGATTAGCGTCGGATTTGGCTTCGATAATCGATTCATTAAAAAAGGTCGAACTAAATTCATAGCTGATCCGAACATGATTCAACGTGATCATCATGACCCGAGTTCAAGATCCATGAAATCAAACTCCGAGTTTATGTTGTAAAATCCAAACACATTGTACATTCTCATCGATGGACGAATGACACAACCGAATCGGTGCCGAACAATGAAACAAAATGACACTGCTATCATTACCACCTATCCCACTGTCTCCTATCGACTTTCTCAAGAGACATGGGCGCAATCATCCCTCTCGACAAGCTCCACTGGCGCCACGCAACTGCGCGCAGCTGTGCGGTCGGGGCGGCGGGCGGGCAGTCTCAATCAGACACGGTACGCGGCGCGCAGAGCGGAGACCCAATGACGGCGCTAATAGACGGTCGATGGTGGTGCGAAGAATCGAGGAGGGGGGAGAGGAGGTGGGTGATTTTGGAGGTGCTGGTGGGGAGAGAGAGGTAGAGGGAGGGTGAGGAATAGGAGGGGAGGCGGTGATTAGGTGTATGTGTGGTGACGGAAGCCGGTGGCCGGCACTCGCTATACCATTGTCTGATTCATCGACCAATGTCATGAATTTGCAACGGCAGGCATATCTACACGGATTTCGGCTAATCCTGATCGGCTTATCTAAAGCAAAAAAAAAAAATGACCATTGGGCACCTGATCTGCATCAACTGAACGACCTACAGTTAACCAACTGATCTGGTGTCTGACTAATTGACCTGCAGCATGACCTGATGTATGACCAACTGAACTGCATTATGACCTGCAGTATGACCGACTGACCTGCAGTATGACCAGTGACGACGTGATCAGTACCAGCAGGTTCGGTACATGCGGCAGTGGTGAGAGAGCCGCCGAGATGACGCAGAACACCGAGTACAGGAACAGGCCGAACCCGGAGACACGCTGCAGGATGGCGTCCAGCTCGTCCGGCTTGTCCTGCGCAAACTTCAGCTTACGGTTTCTGTGGGAGGAAAGATATTGAGTTAGATATTTTAAAAAAGAAAGAAAAAGGATGGTGAGACGGCGCAGAGGCAACGAAGAATTAATTAGATGAAAGAAGCTGATATATCATTAGCGAGCAGAAATAAAGAAATTGTAAGACGGAACAGGGCAGGAACTAAGGCAGAGAAGGAGGAATGGAGAGAGGGACAGACGGAGATCATTAGCGAATTCTGAGCAGTGCCGAGTGCATTGTGTTTGCCCTGCGACCAAACGACATTCAGACGGACTGGCTACACGGGCAGAGCCGAGCTCCGGTGTTCCGAGACATACGACTCTGAGTACCCTCAGCCGGCATCTGAATCTCGCCTCACTGACCTGATGAATCCGACCAGCGTGGCCAGCAGCATGAGGAACAGGATGCCGGCGTGGCTTGTGTCAGCCAGGAAGATGGCCATCTTCTCGTACTCCTCTCTCTCGATCAGCACAAAGTAGAGGACCAGGCAGATTATGGCCGCCACCAGCACCAGGAGGCCGCAGAACAGGCCCTTCGAGGCGCCGATACAGTCCACCTGAGGAACGGAGATCAACACAGATCACTATCAAATCTGGGAGAAAGACGGTTGAGGGCTTGATCATCTTAGATTCAGAAATCGGCCCGTAATTACAGAATAAAAACACGAACAAATGAACAAATTAAACTTCAGCGAGGTAGATAGCACGAATCGAGATATAATCTAGTCGCATGTTTCGAAAGTATTGATGTGTTGTTCGTTGTTCCGTGCCGGACGCAGTTCGTGTTCCAGACTCCCCGCTAGGTGTCGGACTGTCTATGATGGTGACTGGTAGATGTCGGTATTGTCTGGCTGATGGCTAGTGGAGTTGTGTAACTACTTATATGCTAATGGATAGAAGGAGTCTGATGTATGTCATCGACATGATGCTCGCTGATTGATGCCGGCAATGCACGGTGGCAACTGGCAAAGTTACAAGGCTGCGGATGCCAGTATCGTCAATATGGGAGATGTAAACCGATCATAGGGCAGCGCTCCTCCCCACCTTGGTGTGCGCCTTTCGGCTGGTGACGCTGACATGGTCGGGGATGTCGTCCTCCTCCAGGTAGCGCGGGCACCTGCCGATGTTCTGCCACATGATGTACAGCACCGCCGCGCCGATCAGAGAGTATTCGATCATCAGCGGGAACAGGTAGGGCGAGGCGTCGCGCACGATCGCGCCCATGATGTTGACCCGGCCGCAGGTGAAGTTGTCAGCGGCCGCCACGGGATCACCTGCCGGGATAAACGACAACGTTAGAATGTTACCTCGGGACGGCAAATCAAGCAACAAATCATTATCGTAGGTACACCGGTAAAGGACCCATTACTAATTACTGTAGCAACTTTAATTACCAGTATAGCGCCTTTTGGGGCGACTAACGGAGCGAGCGAGAGGGTGAGCCTTGCACGTGCGAAATTTCGAGGGGGTACCTCCAACTGACTTGTGCACGGCACCCTACTGACCGGTTTCTAGCGATGTGCCAAATTTGAGCACAATCGGCCCAGCCGTTCTCGAGATCTGGGAGCGGCACCCTGCACGTGCGCACGTGCAAAATGGGTCCCGACTGGCTTTTGCACGGCACCCTACTAACCGGTCCCTAACTGTGTACCAAATTTGAGCGCAATCGGTCCAGCCGTTCTCGAGATCTGGAAACGACCCCTGCACGTGCGCACGTGCAGCAGCACCCCAACTCTGGCACATGGATATGCAGTGCCTAGTGGGTGCCTACCTACATGCCAACTTTCAGCGCAATCGGCCAAGTAGTTACCGAAATATTGCAACAATTGCAAAACTGACACCTCTTCGTTTTGCACGTGGCACGTGCATAAGGGGTCACCCACATGCATCGGGAATAGTCCAATACTTGGTAGAAGGAATGAAGCTACCCTATAAAAATTACCGCGTGTAAATCGGTCAAGTGGTTGCTGAGATATAAGCCTCGCAAAAGCGTCCGCACGGCCGGCCGGCCGGCCGGCCGGCCGCTCATACTCAGAAATTTCCGTTATTCTACGTAAGACTCCGCTCGCTTCGCTCGCTCCGTAATTAACAGTGAAATGCTAGTGGAACAAAGCGATGTCACAACTACCTATGTGTATTGTGTAAGCAACATAACTAAAACCGAATCCACTTACGATCAGCTTCATTATTCAAAGGATAGTGAACGAAATTAAATACTAGTTTTTACGTCTTCCGCTTCATTAGAGCCTCGCATTTTAAAAAGGTGTGGGAAGATGGTGAAGACAAATTGAAATATCATTTTTACAATTAAAAGAACCATAACTCAAAAGAACCTGATGTACGAAACACACCATAGAAAAGTTAACATGCATATCCTAGACGAGCGGTTCAATGTAAGACCGTTCAAAGAAATTTCCATGTAAACACTTGCGTGAAGACAGAAATACATAAAATAAGGAAAATCGTCGATCAAAACATGCACAACGTTGGTAACAAAACAAAATTCAATCACGAAGCGAAGAAAACATCAAGCCGGATCACCATGCCGCTGGAAACAATCTGAAAAAAAAATAAAACATCGAAGGCTGGAGTGATTGAGACGCAGTCAATCGATTAATCCGACAGTTTCTACAGGGCCATTGGGCAGCAGTGTATCGACAAGCAGGGTCGGTGCGGGGGCGGAGACGGGAGTGTGGCGAGGCACGGACCGTCGGTTGTGCCCAGTACGTCGGTCAGCGGCGGCTGCGTCGGACGGCTCCACACGCTCTGCACGAGCTCAATCGGTGACATGGTGGTGCCGTCCTGTGCCTCGGTGGGGCTGACGCTGGCCACAGAGCCAGCGCCCAGCAGCGCGTCCAGAGCCGAGTCGTTGACCAGCACACCCGAGCCGTAGTCAGCCGAGTCGGAGTCGGAGTCGTAGTCGGAGTACTGGAGCAGCCTGCGGCCCAGCCGGCGGACCGGGTCTGTGGGGCGCCCGGCGGCGGACCGCTCTGTTATAGGGGCCACGGCGGGCGACATGGACAGCCCGACACCCACACAACAGCCACACACCAGACAACACCTCTAAGGTCAGTTAGAATTGGCTAGCCGGGTCTGTTAGTCCGAGTTAGTAGGAGGCGCCCGATAGCTACACACAACACATCCCAGGTTAGTCAGAGATGGTTAGAGCGCCCACAAGCTTCACAAAACACTTCCCCGGTTCGACAGAAGCATAGAGGACGCCGCAGTCCCAGATACAAGCCACAGCACCACTAAGGCCAAAACGGGCACCAGATCACCTCCGACTCATCTGTAGGCATACCTGCCCCCTCTTCACTCCTCCCGGGTAAAGTCATGGCATACAGAACGTGCGAAATCGTCGTGCCCCGGACGCGTCAGGACCTCGCGCCGCCGTCCTCTCACCGAGTATGAGGAAGTCCTCGGTGCGTCGGCCGCCCGTAGCGCGGCTGTGGTCCGTGTAGACCCGCAGACTCTCGCGTACCACCGTGCGCAGCCAGACACACACGTTGGTGGCCACGACGTGCATCAGGCCGCAGCGAGCCACCACCTTGAACTTGTGGATGTTGAGCTGCGGGCGAAGGGAAGGGAATTCAGACGCCGCGAATGTACTTCCGCCAACAAACAAACAAACAAACAAACAAACAAACAAACAAACAAACAAACAAACAAACAAACAGACAAACACCGCCACACACCACACAAATAGGAAGACCACATACACAACACAAATAAGCAAACAAATAATAACAGACACACGTAGTCAATATGGTAGCCTGTCGATTATAACATGACAGCTGAGCTGCTAAAATGTCTCCAACTAACAGAAATCCCACAGAATTGACGATGGGGCGCTCGCGGATATAGTTAGACGGCTAAATGAAGCCGAGCTCGTCAAATTTCACACACTCCCGCACATCGACAGGGTGCCCGTCGATGCGGGGACTACGTCAAAGTTTGACGGAAGCTGGCAGCAGCAGTGAACCCGGGCCCTACTGGGGTAGGTCCTGGTCGTGCTGAGGGAGGGATGACGTTTTAGATCTCATACTTCACTGAAAATAATTGGTTATGCAAAGCCTTGGTGAATTTGGACAAGATTGATTTGATTCTTCCTCGAACTTATGTAACAATAAATCGTTTCCAGACACGAAATTCAGTACCCGTTCGGCAATACCTACCCGAGAGTTCATGAAAATGAAGTACATCTGCATGAATGTGAATGTGGCCTGTAGGCAGGGGTTGACGGCCATCAGGATCTGCCAGCACTCAGAGTCCTCGGGGATCTCGAAGAAGGTTCCCAGCTCCAGGCCGTTGTACACCATGGTTCCGAGCCCGAACGCTGCCGGAGGTCGGCCGAAAGACGTCATTGGGGGACTACCAGTTGGCAGGGACAAAACAATCACGTTAATTCAGGACAATCAACTGGAACGTAGACACTGGAAGCAGAACGGACTGCAAATAAAATACTTGCTCGATCTGTCGCAACAAACACAACTATTTCATAAGGTTAAATTGAAGTGATTCACGAATAAAAAATAAACTGGGATTCCACTCGGAACATCGAAACTTATACGCATACGCGTGTCCTAACTCCAATGTTCCACTAATGCGCAACAGTTGACAAACACAACCTTGTAAACGGGTCCCACTCGCACCACAGAACACTCTTTGACTCACCAATGGCGCCGATCCGCAGGAAGAATCCGCCATGGCTGTGCTCGTTGTCGCTCGTCTTGGTCTTGTACGGTCGACATTCGCGCGTGAGTCGCTCGGGCGAGCCGCCGCCGCCGCCGCCGGCGCCGTCGTTCAGGTTCACATCGGCGGGCGGTTTGGCCTTCTGTGTGTGAGGCGAGCAGCGTTCAGCACTCAGGCACAGCGCCGCGCAAAGGGGTGAAGGCGGTCAGTGGTCACTACTGTTATACGGCGATGGTCGGAGAGGGGGGGGGGGGGGGGAAGGAGAGAAGCGTTCCAGCTCTGGCACTATTGCCCTGGAGTGACCAGGCTCGTGTGATGCGAAATCATTTCAGCCGGACAAATAAATGCAAGCAGGATATGTCATATAAATAATAAGTAAAAATAACATTATCACCAGATAATTTAACTTATTAGCTAAAAAGCTTAACAGGATAGGAAGAAAGTTTGAGAGAAGCTCATAAGAAGCTTTGTGAAGTGGCTTCGGGTGGCACAGCACGACGCTGAGATGAAAGGCAACTGTTGCTTGCTAGGTACTTAAACGGTCATGCTGAATGATCGACGTTGCCTCGTTGGTGCTGAGCCTTTTGACAGACGGCGACCACCACCGAGATCCTGTTTTAAATCCCCTCGCTCATCCCCGTGAAACTGCGCGTTTGCGACTCTCTACTTCCCCTGTAGAGTGAATACCATGTTGTCAGCACATGGTTGGCCCGTTTCGACCCGGCGTTAGTATGTACCGACCAGTGTGACCAGACAAAGGTGAACAAACAAGACCCTCCAGCAAACAGTGCAGATCATGTACAGACATTCGACACGAACAAACAGACATGTTTGTGCAGACATTCGAGCCAGGAGCCTTGGATTATGATACATACGGTCATACGACACCAGAGTTTTCCGAGAGATGCGACTGATTAATTACTCGCATGATATGCATCAGGTTAACCCTCGCCGGACCTATTGGTTTTCTACATACGCGCCGGCCGAGGGGGGGGGGGGCGGGTACGACCCCCCCCCCTCGCCGTTTCGCCCCTGGTGGAGCTAGCGCGTCGCGGAAAAAACGAGCGTGTGCGCCGTTACGAGACGCAGAGATTGGTACCCGATTTTAAGGTCCTAGGTCAACCGGTGACCTCTGAGGTCAGGTCAAGTGCCCCAGGGTACGGTTCAGTTTTTGGTGAATAACTTCGCAAAAAACGGCCGCAGAGCGCCGATTTTGGCAGCATCGTGTTCGTCTCGCTCAGGCGCGTCGAATGATATACTTTTTGTCCGGGTCAGGTCAACTTGGGGTGTTGACCTCAGGTCAAGGTCAGGTCAGCACCCCCAGGTCACGAAGTTGGTCGAAAGAGGTCATGTCGCATATCATTCGATTCGGCAGGCCTTCCTGAGTCCATTGGTGCCTTTCCCGACTCGCTAGCTCAATTTGATCAAGAGTTATTGACGAAAAACTAATTTGACCTTGATGACGTCATAAATGACGTCACGCAAGGTCAACATTGCAAAAGTGACGCATCTAACCTTGCAAGGAGTGCATCAAATCACGATTCTGTGTGCTTGAGATAGTTGGAGATCGTTCCCGGCGCCAGAATAGCAGTTTGAATTTTTCCCCATTGACTTATAATGGTGAGGTCACAAAAATGACCTGACCTCATATGACCTTTAGGAAAAATCCGAGATATACAAGTTGTGGGACTCATAATGGATACTAAATCCTGCAAGTTTCATTTCCCTGTGACATCTCCTCTGGCAGTGAGGGCGTTGCGAAGTTGCGACATCTGAAGACCGTGCAGAGGTTCACTTATGACGTCATAGGTCAGTGACCTGACCTGACCCAAAAATGCGGTTGGTGTCAAAAGATCCGGCTTGGATCAAAGGTCAGGTATGCCAAGTTTCAGCTCTCTATCGCCAGCGTGTTCGGAGCTATCGCGAAAAAACCCTATGGGGGGGCGGCACCCGCCCCCCCCCCCCCCTCGGCCGGCGAGGGTTAAATGACTTATCGCATTGTTAGGAATTAGGACGCTTAATGATAATCCAGGCAAGTGTCAGCAGACCGAGTCGCTGACGGTAGCCTCCATCCCTCTATCAATCAGGACACGTTAATGGGCGGTTCCGTGCATCTGCAGCACGGGGTGGTGTGTTAGTTGGCACATTGGACAGCGGCGGTCACGGCAGGCTGGCTGGCAGGTATGCAGTATTCACTCTGTAAGTACCTTGGCAGAGCCGGGGTCACCACTCGGGTTAACCTGGTAGGAGCCACTGCGGAGCCCGCGGCGTCGCGAGGCGCGGCCACAGCACGAGGATCCCTGCAGCGGCGCGTGCGATGTTAGGGCCGGCTCGCACCGAAAACACACCGCCGTCTATATCGGATGTCGCCGTTGAAACCTCAAAATGTAAAGCGTTTACGTCGGGTGCAGTTACACTGAATATCGTGTGACCCTACCCTCTGTGCCGGAGCGCCAGTTACCACCGTGTGTGCCCAGATACCGCTGTATATAGGTACAGAGTGTCGATACTCTGGAAAGGTATCGCTGTCCGTACTAACTGTGCCGTGTTTCGGTGAGACGCTCACCTTCCCGCAGCAGCCGGAGCCCTCCTGCTGCTTCCCGACTTTGGTACTGCTCTCGTGCAGCAGGTAGACGAGAACGTACAGCAGGAACAGGATGCTGACGCCGTACAGGTAGGTGAAGAACGCCTGCCGATGACACACAGACAGACACCGGTCAGTTGGGTCCAAGCACTGATCACTGACCAGCTTAATCGTCATTTTCGACTTCTGTGACATACCTGTGTTGAATGGAGCCCTTGACATTTATAGGCCCATGTGCATAGGCATGGTGTTTTCGGCTTACCTCGTAGAAATAGAGTGGCACACTGTCGGTGATGATCTCGGATATAAGAAACGCGATGCAGACCACCACCAGAAGTTTGGCGTAAACTAACGAGAGAATCCGGAAACACGCCGTCCTGCAATAGGTAAAAACCGTTAGTCGCTGAAGGAAAGTGGTTACAATAAGTGATCCACCAGTTATTAAGCACACAGGGTGTGCGACAGGCGTTGTCGACCACGAGTCAAAATTTGAAGAATTTAAGACGTTTCCATAAGTTTTGAAGGTATGGATAAGTTCTAAAAATCCGGTTCTCCTTATCCGGGTCATTAACTCCATATGGTCCAAGAAAGCTGGCACACTACCTTTAAGAGCATCTGCGATTATTAATTATGTGAATCTATCTCGCATTCACTATCACTTAAAGGGACTATTCCACCTTCTAAAATGTTGTTAAAACCAGTTAAATTGTGCCCGACTTTATAGATTGGATGACCAGGAACACGGTTCTGGCATTTACTTTTCATTAAACATCTTGGGCTTCCCATATTCCAAACACAAACTTTCAAATATGTGACGTCACAGCCCAAAATTACCTCCTTCCCCAGGCCACATTACTGTCATAAAGCTGATTCTTTTTACTCTGTAGGCACCACAACAAAGTTCAGACCAAGTTTTAAGCGATTTTTCAACGAACAAACCCATTTAAATCAGAATGACTAAACGAGGTGACGTCACACTAACGGTCGCTCCATGTTGAAGATAGGGCCTTGTACAAGGCCCATTTTCAAATGAAGGGAACGAATTTATTCAACACCAAGAGGCCGCGGGGGTTGCAACCTAGATAGATAGTGGTTTCTGAACCTCGCCGCAAACTTGGCTATCTCAACTCAAACCCCATGTTAAAGGTGGGATAGGGTGGGATAGTCCCTTTAATTTCATTTGGGTGAGCCATGCGATTTACTACTTCGGAGGCAATACGATATGATGCCATGACATGGTACGGTATAGGTAATTAAATTTGGGACACTATTGCCATTGCCACCATTGAGTTATTAACGACACACAGTGACGGCCCTTATGGATCACCTTAACGTCACCTGTGAAGTCATAGAAAGCCCATGAAAACACAAAACTACGCCACGAAATCATGTAAGCGACGTATGAAAGCAATGCTCATATGCCGGGGAGTGGATTATGTCATAGCCAGGCGCGTAACCACGATTCTGAAGTTTCTGGGGACCACATGGAGGGCCGCGAAGACCAAATATTATATTTCAGGATCAGCCTTCGCCCAAGTGGGGGGGGGGGGGGGGGGAGGGGGTGTTTCTGGCCACACCCGCCAGTTTTTTTTTGCGCGTGTAAAGAAAACCGCGGCGCGCACCGCCGCGAAACTTGGTATGGCTTATGATACCTCAATTTCGCATCATGTGTGAAAATTTTGACACCAGGTCACCTAAGGTCAGGTCACCAGGTAAAGTAGCCATGCCTCCAAAAAACTTTGTGACTCTGTCATTCCTACAGTTTTATCCCAGAAGTTTGAAACTCGAGCTTTTGCATGAGGAAATCAGTATGAACAATTCGTATATCTCAAAGTTTTCACATCGGTGACCTAATGTTAAAAAAAAAATTAGTCCGAACCCTCTGATAGGAAGGACTCACAAGGACAGAGCCACCGCTAAGCGAAGCTTGTTGCGGTGACCCTGCCCTCTACCCTCCGATCGCGCAATTCCAGTTCTATGGCAGAATTTAGAGTCCAAAGTTTAACGTGCGCACATAGCCACTAGGGTTGTTAAAAAAAAAACGAATTTTGGAAAAAGTATATGGGCTCATGGCTCATGTGGTGCGGTATTCTTTTCTGAGACCAATGATGCCCTTTTTTCTGAAAAGTATTAACTGTTAGGGGCTCCTCAAACGGCTTAAATAGGACCATGTTACGCCCGCCGACCGGCCTGTGTCAATAAGGGCGAGAACTCGACGCCGCGCGCCGGCGGCAGCGCCTTATCGGCACCGCGCGCCACGACATCTGCCGGGCGGCCGGCTGGGCGGTGGGAAGTTATAAGTGCGTGGTCTTATTGCACACGATCGGGGTGAGCTATCCCATGTTTTCGGGGCGGAAAGTTTCAGTGCAGCATCGGTGCGTCTGCCACGGTGGTCTGTGTCGATGGTATAGAAAATAACTCAAGCAGAGCTCAGAAAATACTGAATGATTCCGGGCAGTTGCCTCGAAACAATCCGTTTTAAGAATACAGCTGCCTTCTTAACGTACCGTATCACTTGTTAATTCTTCAAAAAGCAAACTCTGAGCAATAACACACCTCTTTGCATTGCTGTTGACAATTTACGTTAGTTTTTGACGGTGGCTCGCACCCCCAATATGCTGCCGCGCAACTTTATTCCAACCAATTCCAACGGCGAAACGGCAACTTCGTGAGAATCGAAAATTCACGATATACGTACAGCAGGGGCTGGCAATGCAGTATGCACAAGGACAGAATATGGAGGATACCCGACAGTCATCGGCCCAAGTTTGGGGGTGGCTTTGACGAGCATAGGCGTCACCAATGTCATTATTCAGATACGTTGATGTCAGATGCTGGGGCAACAGAATCGACGCCAGGTTTAAAGGGACCCTCCCACCTTCAAAAAAGTTAATGAATTGGCATGAAAGTGATGTCGCTCGGTTCAGAAAGAGCAAAAATGAATATCTACCAAATTTCATCGAAAAATATTCACCGGTTTTCAAGATATTAGACTTTTACTTTTGTTTACTTTTTGGGATCTCCGCTGTTCCTAGCGACTTTATTTGAAAGTGCGGCATTTGTTGCGCGCAAAGCAGCATATACCACCGCGTGCTGCCAAACGTTTTAGTAAAAGATTTAAAAATCGTTAGATCTCCGCTGACGTCACAAATTCTAAGGGGGCATACCAATGCATTAGCCCCTTAGAATCCGAAAACTGCAAGTTTGAAATTCCATATCTCCGAATTAAAGCATTTTTCGATGTTGTGAATGCCCAAACCGGTATTTTCAGGCCATGGCCACCAATTTGGCTATCTCAACTCAAAACTAATGTTAAGGTGGGAGGGTCCCTTTAACTTAGAATAGCGGGTCGAAAGAAAACATAACATGTCTGGGAGTGACAGGGTGGCCACCCTGACAGTGTGACGAAGTGAGACATGAGTAGAGACATTAGCCGGAGTACCTACTCATATAAATCAAGCGCCGTTTATCCAATCCTTCGAGCATAAGCGACGCCGGCAGTCCGGCCAGGGCGGCCGTGCCCACCGATGCCGATCAAGACCCGAATCCAGACCCGGCATAGAACACAGCTCTGCCCTGACGTGACACATTACCCCGGTGTGTCACTCATGACGGATACACCAATGCAGGAGCCTTGCCAGCTCCTGTTGTACAGGGACCCGCAGTTGCTTCTGTACACACTAGTATTTCAGCGTATTCTTTGCCTGTGACACCGTTGGAGGCGAATTGGGAAATTATTGTGTGCTTATTAAAACCACCATCTGAAGGGCTTTAAAATGATGTGCTGCTCTCCTAATTCAGTGAACTTTTAATGGCTATATCAGCAAAACATTGTTTTCAGCGCTTTTCCTGCCCCATTCCTTCTGAAACCTGGAACCGCTTATTCCATTTACTCCTGCCATCTGACGATGGTCGTGCTGACTACTAGTTCCGGCGCTAGTTACTGCTCCAGTTTTGCACCCGGCACAAACTCAGGCGGCACCGGGCCGTGGCTCGACCAGGGGAGGGTCGGACCGAGCCGACTGCCTGGGGCGCGGTTAGATCGGACGCCCTGCTGGGGAAGGGGACGGGAGTGAGGGGGAGGGGAGGAGGTGGTCACGTGGTCCGTCCAAGCTCGCAGACGGCCTGTCCTGCGCCCAGCCATGTTCCGTGATCCAAAATGGCACGAGAGCTGTGGAATGCCTGGAGGAGACGCTTCGAAAGCGAACTTCAGCAGCACTAATTTACCATATTCTGTGGAGATAAATGAATATTATCTTAATGCAGAAAAAATGTATGCCCAAGCTGTATAGGCTGTATCTTTTTAAAAGTTGTAAATAGGATTATTCTTAGGGACAATTATAGGTTTCGTATACACAGTGAATTGTGTTACATTGAGCCGTTTCGCTGTTACGGTTACTAACTGAAGAGTTATCCTTTTTTCTCACAGGGAATGACAATACAATAACAATACGAATAAAACCAGACGTTTCGCACAAAAAAGTGCCTCAGTCAGTGGCAAGAAAAAAAAAATGTATGCCCAAGCTGTATAGGCTGTATCTTTTTAAAAGTTGTAAATAGGATTATTCTTAGGGACAATTATAGGTTTCGTATACACAGTGAATTGTGTTACATTGAGCCGTTTCGCTGTTACGGTTACTAACTGAAGAGTTATCCTTTTTTCTCACAGGGAATGACAATACAATAACAATACGAATAAAACCAGACGTTTCGCACAAAAAAGTGCCTCAGTCAGTGGCAAGAAATAAGTAATTAGGCATACAAAGGAAAGTTTCATTAGATTGGTGTCAATCAGTTAAAACTCTAGGAGTAACATTTGAAAATGATCTCTGCAAGGTTATAAAAGCATATGATGACAAAATCAATGACGTCGCAAGAGAAATAGGAAGATGGAAATACCGCAATATATCGTTACAAGGTAGGGTTACAATTATAAAAACTCTCCTGCTTTCAAAAGTCAGTTATCTGTTTCTGTCAATTCCCAGACCTACAACAGCTGTGCTGAAGAGTCTTAAGAAAATGCTATTTGGCTTTCTGTGGAATGGAAAGAATGATAAGATAAACCGGTTAACAACGGTCAAAAGTACTTTGAAGGGGGGTGCTGGCATGGTTGACCTGGACTCTTATATATCGGCATTAAAGATTAGCTGGATTAAGAGAGCAATAATAAATCCCAATGTTTGGGGCGAAATTGTAGAAAAAGAAATGCGAAAAATAGGATTTATCTGGGGTTTAGGAGCAGAAGCGATTAGGAAGAAAACAAATGGACTTCGAAATCAGTTCTGGAAAGAAGTAATGCTGGCTCTAGCAGATCTCCGAGATAGTTACCGAATGGAAGATGATGACATTACTCGAAGTAATATCTTCTTTTCCGACT